TGCATGTCACATCGAACATGCGAATCGTTGTCGCGTGTTGACTTCTTAATGAATGGAAAATCGCGTTCCAACTGAGTATACATCTTACACGCTCGTTTAGACATGATTTTCCCACCAAACAGTACTTAATGCAAGGGTTCTCAAGTAAAGACAAAACTTCATCATCGCTTGCTCCTTCCATTTTTTGATTATCCATAAAAATTCTCCTTGCCGCGTTGCCCACTCAGGCACTCTATTATCCCGCCCAATTATGGCGTGCGCACATCATCACTGATAGGTCTTGCTTTTATCACCTACATCTTACATGCTCAAAGCGGAACATTCCGAGGTCATCGACTTCCAAGCGGGAGATTAGTGCATCTCGCCCAGCAATTTTTAAAAAGCGAGACGTCAGTTTGAAATGCGGGACTGCCCCGTCTAAATCGGGATGTATGGCCAACTTATATAAGCCACATATGTGCGGCTCGACTTTGATAAGCACCGTCAGACGATAAGGTGGCTTTTCATCGTCATTGTTTATGCCCCCTACTGACTGCAGTTCGGAGGGTATCAAGGAAATTTCCTATCATGGTGAAGAATACTAACATGTATGGGTCATTTATCAGACTCTGTTCAACATCTGGGTGGCTGCTTCGGGGTCGATGCACGACAGACAGACAGACAAAGGTGATTGAATCCTGCAACTGTGCGCCGAGCACAACCTTTACCTTCACAGCATTGCTTTTTGATAGAAACGTTCACATCGCGTCACCTGGTGGCCACTGAATTCCTTAATGATCAGGACCCAAATTGACCATATTGCTATCCGCTACAGATGGCGCGCATCAATCCAAGGCTGTCGGTCAATTCGGGGCACGTGCCTTGATTCCAAGCATGACCCAGTGCGGGCATGCCCAAGGTCCACTTTTCTTGTTCCAAAGAACGGACTAAGTTCCAACCTTCTTGTTTGTAGCCTAAACTACCAGTCTGCAGCGCAAAAATATCATGACGAACTGTTCCACCATCTGTCAAGGAATGAGATTGGTGAACCGAACGCTGACTGGAATCGTCTCAAATGTGCCATAAAGAAAGTCTGACGCCTGCTGTGCAGCCAGGTTGAGACGTTCAAACTGAATGGATCACTGGGGATTCGACCAAACTGGTCGAAGCACGGAAACAGGTTCCAATGGATAATGAAATTCAGCGTGTCCGTAACGCCCTAAAATGACGTCTGACAAAATCACCGAATTGATTGGGAATGTTGGTGAGTCTCAAGGGTCTGTGAGATGGAAAATGACAGTGATACTGGAAACAGCCGAGTGCTATTTCAGCTCCACAGGAACGCAAATCCTAAAAAACCATCAGCGTAAGAAACTAGCTGAGAAAGATGGACGAATGATCAAGGCTCAGCATCGCCGGCTAGCCAGTTAGGCGGAACATTTTCAGGAGCATTTCAGCAGAGCTACTGCGACATTGCCAGTTGTTGAATCACCCGAGCCGAGGTGCAAAGTTGATGTCATACCTTTCACTTTGGATGACAATTGACATGAGCTCGCTGTGGTGAAACGAAACAAGGCTCCTGGACCCGACGACCTTCCCCATCTTTACTGAAAGATGAAGGTCTCTTTGTTGAACGCACTTGATTCTTCACTTGACCCGATTTGGGACGCCGAAGCAGTGTCCTCAGACAGGCGACTGTCAACCTTCGTGCTCATCTGCAACTTGATCAGCGAACTTTGCGAGAATCACGATGGCACTAACCTTATTCCCATTACCGCTAAACTTCTCAAGGGCATAATACTTTTACGACTTACTGATCTTAGTGAGAGCCGAGTCACTGGAAGCGGGACGAAATTCCGACCTAGTCGTGGTTGCATCGAGCACATATATACTTAGCGCCAAGTGTTAGAGCCAGTGACGTGGAAAATGATTTTGCCGCCCTAAATGGTTGTGAGATTTTCGCATCCCAACTACATTTGTAAACTCGTAAACCCTCACAACTGTGAACAGTAAACAAAATCTCATCTCAAAGAATAAAAATCTAAGATCTAATTTTAAAGTGAGGCTGCAAATGGAGGCATTAGTGCTGTTATAACACCCGTGTATAAAATTTACGAAAATACTTTTCTGCTTTGCCTGCGGCAAACTTATCGACACTAATAGCAAAATTCAGTATGGAAAGAACTGCTAAGTTCGTGAACCATGTCTGGCTCATTGCTGATCGAAATTGGTTCCTTATAAGCTTCATTTCGAGAAAAAGCGCATACAGTTGGCAATGCTAATAACTTGAGTAAGAATAATGCATAGAAAGATCACAATATTCGGTGCAGATTCTTCAAGGTGATATTATTTTACGAAGCTCAAAGATTTCACTGGTTTTGTCGATTACTGAAGCTTTCAAGCAATACTGAAACTTGCTAATTTCGGCAAAGAATTCCACTTTTTCTGACTCCTAGCTTTGCCCAGCGCGTCATACTAGTAATCATCAAGCAGATTCAATTGTGCATGGTCACGATATTGCCGAGATCTACGACATATTTTACCTGTCAACCTGTCAGTGACAGACAGCACTTCCAATTTCAACTCGGCATCAAATCCAGTTGATGGAACAAACAACTCTTTACCATCTATACGGTTTTTTCGGCAAAACCAATATAACACCAATTGAGGACAAGCGGCACCAATACCGCTGAACACAAAACAACTGATTCTTCACATGGCACACAATGAGAGTACAAATCACCATACTTGTGACTGTACAGACAGATCACAAAGGCCAGAGTCAGCAAGCGAGGTCACTCAGGCGCTTACATCGTCATAGAACGATTTGCAATGACGTGGTCGCAGTACAACGCCTTGTGGGCGACAGTGCATAACGTTCATGGGTAACTGCTATGGACAAATGGGTGAGTGAAAACGAGAAGAAACAGAGGACAATAAGGTGTGACAAATGACACAAATGCGTTTTCGGTTATCCAGAGCAATATTGCAATATTCAGCTATCGGCTTATTTAGAAATTTTGCCGTTTACGCTTAGTATCGAATAATCGTCGGTACTAAAGATGCCGTTATCTGTTACATGCCATTCAGGGCGAACCGCCCTCCTTGTTACACTACTGGTTGGAGCAGATGCAAACCCAGAGATGAAAGTTTTCATTCACTTGAAAGTAGCCTACAACTTTGTCGATCGCGCTATCTTGTGGCAACGCCTATCTGCGAAAGGCGCGTGTGGAGAACTCGTTCCCATTTTCATGTCTCCCCCATCATGACTCCCGAGGCCAGGAGGTTTTCTCCTAAATCCCTACGACAAGTATACCTTTATCAAGCTCGTAAAAACGATCAACAGGTGACAAGTAGACCAGCAACTGAGAGGAACACACACAGGATCCCCAATTTCGGGGCTCATTGCAGAAGCCGTAATACAGAAATTGGAGCGCATCGCACTGCCATATATCAGCCGAAAACTATGGATACGATGCGTGGAGGACACTTTTGTCATCGTAAAACGGAACAGAGTACAGGCCACGCACGAGTTACATAACAGAACATTCGAGGATAATCAATTTAAGATTGCATTAGAGGAGGATAGCAAGTTGCCATTTTTGAATATAATGGTCACTAGGAATACCGACGGATCTCTGCAAACGTACGTAGATCAGAAGAAAACGCATACGGAACAGATGTTAAACTACAACAGCAACCACCCGATGAACCAGAAGAAGAGCTGCATTCAAACCCTATTCAAAAGAGCGGAAACGCAATGCAGCACAGCCGAATCGAGGAAACAGGAAGAAAAGCACCTATATCAAGTCTTTAGAAACAACGGTCATCCGAGAACTTTCATCAGAAGAAGCCTAAAGAAACGAACGTATCAGCAACAGTAGTCACCTGAGTAAGCAATCAAAGGAATAGTACTCCCCTACATCAAGAACGTCTCCGAACTAACAGGATGATTGCTGCAGTCACATGGGATCTCTGCAGCTCAGAAACCAAGTGCCACCCTAAGGAAATTGATTTCAAGACCCAAAGAAAAAGTCAATTAAGCCGACCAATGCAATATCATCTATCAGCTAAAATGCAGCGACTGCGATAAAAACTACATCGGACAAACTGGAAGAAAGCTTTGTACACGAATCACCGAACACAAGGCGGCCGTCAGTAGACAAGATCCGCACTCATTGGTTTCTCCGCAGGAATATCAAGAAGGCCACTATTTCGATCTGAAGAATGTAAAGATCCTAGCACATGGAAGTACAGAACATGCGAGGAAGTTTTTGGAAGCCTGGTACTCTACAGCGAATTCAATAAATGGATATATCGAACTGGACGCAGTATACGCAACAGTACTGGCGAACGGCTGACAACTCAATTGATTGAATCAGGTGGAACGTGTGACTAGCCAACCAGAACTGACGACAGACTCGCTCACAAGCGCAGGCAGACAAAGGCCACGAAACACAAGAAGTCAAGGTCAAAGGTCATCTGCCCATCAACCAGGCTGAAGGCGGATCGAAATCATAACCAATAGGATTGCTCGCCTCCACGGGCAACCACGGCGGTATAAAAACGCACGCACACCACGCTTAGCGCACTCTCACCGAGGCTCCTCTACGCTATAATACGGCACTGCACACCACTCAACTACGCACTGATGATGTCACCTCGATTGGTGACGAAACGTTTGCAACCAAATGGCCAAGCTCAGCGAACAGTTCAACTGCCATCTGAACAACCTGAGCCACCAGTCAATTCGACAGAAAATGAAGAAGTTTGAAACAAACACTATCAGGTTATTGGATAAACCAAATGAATTAGAGGTCGGAATAGTATTTGGCGGGAATATGTCGCGAAGATTATTTTTGTAATGCCGGTTAATATGAATGAGTAAACCTCGCGGTTCTCTAAATGATAGTTTCGCAAGCAACGATTCATCTCTGCACAGTTGAATAATGTGTGCCTTAAATTCAAACAGACGCAATGAGATATGATGACACAGAGAAAAAGAGAATCAATCGTTCAAAGGCAGATCCTGATAGTGTACACTCCAAATATAGTAATGCGATGAGGTTACGGCATTAAAGCTTTTATCCCAAATATGAGCTAGTAACGGTTGGGCACCAGAGTTCGAGTATGATAAACTGACTGTGATGTCAACTGCACAAAAGTGTAGGAACGGTCTTGTTGAAATACAAATGCATGTATTGATAACAAGAACCAGTGAAGAAGCAGCGGTGGGCAACATATGATTGGCGACAGAAGAGGAGAACCAGGGGAATCATGATTCTACCATTCTGGTGGTAGGTTTCGTGTTTTTTCACGGAAATAGTTAGGCAAAAATAGGGAACAAGGGGCCAGGAACTTTCAGTGTGGAATAAGCATCATCAAATTTAAAGGAGTGACCTGTGAGGTTACGTAGACATCGACCACTTTTTGGAGTGGACCCAATAAATGGGGAGGCTAAAGTGCAATAATGTCCACCGTGTGTGAAATGCGTAACGATACCACACCAAAAGTTGTTCAAGATTATCGTCAACCTCTCATCCAAAGAGTAAAATATGCTGTGGGCTAGTAGTCGCATACGCATAGAGACGGTGACACAGAAGATATAACCCTGAATTGAAGTCACTGGATGAAGTGAAGTGGTGACCAGTTCTCATCACATGAGCTATCAAAAGGTGTCGACTCCAAAAGATTCCAAGTTCCACCGAGAGAGGCTCCTGATCGAACATCTCTTCAGCTTAATGTACCGGTAACAAGAAGGATGGTTGTTTATTCAAGTATGGAACTGGTGCACGCAACATTGGTATAGTGCTGAAACTAACATTCTCCAGTGGCCACGTCCCTGTTGCTGTTCTGGTGACCAAAACGTGGTAGAAAGTGCTAGACGGGATGCCGTTAGATGCTGATGGCTGGGGATGTTTCAAAGGACAGAGAACTCGAGTTTGTTCGTGCCACGGGTGCAATTAAGGGTCAAAGTGTTCTAGTAAGGAAAAATGAGTTTGCAAATCGAATGGCGTGCGTGCCGCATTTTTCTTTGCATGTTTCGCGTCTTCGAAAAACAACTCTGAATGAGAGTGAGGTAGGTGGAGCTGATCCAGGAAAGTGATGAAAGATTGATAGTCTTGTGCTTTCCATGGACGACGGTCATCCATCAGCTGAAGAAATAGGGGTTGAGCGAAATGAGTTGTAGTGATGGAAACGCGTGTTTAAACGAGCCATATGAAATGGTTATTCAAGTAACATTTCGAGGCATCAGGAAGGAGTCACAAGAGGCAACTGTAGAGGACAATGAACAGGTGATTACTGTCCAATCACACAAGTTCTATGGATCAATCAGATGAGAAAATGAATGGAGGAATGGAATAGAAATCAGGTACCAGAACAGAAGATTCAGCAGTGGTAGGATTAACGTCAATAGAAAAACATCACGGTGCGTAAAACCACATGTTGAGTGGTGTTAACAGATTAAAAGTGATCGACCGAAGCGAGTATCGTGATTGGCACCTCCCTCCGCATGGTATAAAGGTCACAAACTCTGTTTCCCTTTATCGGTCCCTGCGGATAACATTGAGTTAGTACATGTGGTACAAATACATATGCAAGCGGTTAGAGCCAAGTAAATTTCATCAAGTT